TCCCGTATACCGTGATAAAAGCATTAGCAATTAATCGCAACATGAGAATTTGATACCGGCATATCCCTAATTTGTATATTCAAAATTTTATTTAAAACATTAATCTCATAACTAGGGTTGTGTATCGAGAACCGGTTCCAAATTTCCAATAATCGGGTATTCGATAAGATTGTGCATTTCGATTCCGCTTAACGATTCCCGCGTTCGCATTTTAATGTGATTTTAAACTATTTAAGTGCAGGAAGGGAAAGAACTTGCACACTGTTTGCGTGCAGCTGCTGATTTTTGCTCGTGTTATTCAGCTGCAACAGAACGCTTTGTAAAAAGACAATAAATGTTTGACATCTAAATGTTTGTATTAATTTTTTTTATATTGGATTTTTTTGTCTTATTGTAATCGAAACTAGGACTCGATAAGAATCGGAATCGATAAAATTCAAACGATACCCAACCCTAGTTACGGCGCTCACTGACTGACTGCGCCGCTGCATGATAGCGCGGGGCTTGTTGATCCCGCTCTCGCTGAATTTCTGAAACATTTTGCATTCTACCTGTAATAAAACTGTGCTAAATGTTTTGGGCCACACTAGTAGGAAGCATTTGAGCTGTGTTTATGATAAATGTGCATAACAGTGACTGTAAAATATGTATTTTAGGGATGGAAATTGCATTTTTATATTTGGGACATGGTAATTGCGCTACTTTGGGCGTTTTTTTTTTTTTTACTGGCATGGGCTTGGGATGCTCAATTAAAATGATGTAATGTGATCATTATTTTACCTTCCACGATCATTCAGACACGATCAGGTGCAGTACTGACACTCTGGTCAAGTCTGCATCAAATCAAGCACTCTGTAATCACAGGTAAACTGTCTGATCAGTCAGATGTTTGTCATGAGAAGTGTTCCACAAAACAGCTATGGTTTGCAGACAGTTATAAGAGTTGTGACAAATACATCTTGAATATACCGTGTGAACTCATTGCCCCGTTAGCTCGGAGAGCTTTATTTTCTCTCCTCAATAAGTTTTGTCAGTTGTTTTCTTTATTGGTCCAATTCTTGTTTCTTGGGTTGCATTGGTTAGTCACTCAATTAATTCTCTTCTGCTTCGTTCCCCCCTTCTGAATTATGTTGTATTGATAAGGAGTTATCACTGTAACTGTTTAGTTGTGCTATCTCACAATCAGTATATAGTAAATGTAAGTTAAAGTGTCGCTGATTTAACAGATTAAAACTTGGAGTGGCGATGAGGTCTTAAAATGTATGGATGGAGTCTTAAAAAAGGTCTTAATGTATTAATTTTAACTCCATGATTCCTGTATAGGCCTATACCCTGTTAGTGTCATATCCATATAAATCATTGTTATGGTTTCTATGGCTAGGACCTGCAGTTTATAAAAGGATTTAAGTTTACTTCTAGACTAAAAACAGTTAAAGTTAGCAGGTGCATAAGACAGCGCTACGTCCCACTTCAAAACACACAATATTTTTACATTTTTGTGAATAATTACCTGTCAGGGTCTTTGGGGAAAACGATGCAAGGCAAGATTTTTACTGTCACACTGATAGTTTTTGCAGTGGATTGCCCAACATTGCGTTCTTTTATTCCACTTTGACCTCTTTCGTCGTTATTCTGTCTGTTTCTGTGTATCTGTGCTGTTGTCCAGTTGGTGTTTTTACCCCAAAATGCCACCTACAGGGATCCAGACTCATTCTTCCCACTGGTCGCTCTTTTGCGACTAACTTTCTCAGTTGCTCGCACGAGCACATGATTTGGTCGCAACTGTTTTTTTTGTTTGTTTTGTTTTTTTGCTACTACATGGGATTAATCAATGCATGCTGATGAACTTTTATCATATATATTAGTTATATATAAAACATTATAGTTATATGTAAACGAAAGAGGTTAACATTCAACCTGTTCTTTTTCATTAGTAGTATTATTTGTGATTTGAATTTTGTGAACGGGAGATCCTCTTTTGCTATGTTATAAGCCGCGGGCTTCGGATGCTTTTGCTTTTGAATTTGTGATCTTGTTGTCACGTTTTACAAGAAAAGATAATTGTCTGTTTTGCTTACATCTATACCTTTCACTTTTTAAGACTAAAACAAAAGATGGATTCATTGTTATTCTTGATTAAAAAGCACAACAACGATAAAACCGTAAGATACAATGACAAACTAGCTTACAAAACGTTTATTAATAAAACTGAATAAGATGAGGCATGGCATACACCACATGCTGTATTATATGCAGACTAATAAATTACAGAACGTTTAGCAAACACTGAGGAATCAAATAAAAAAATAAATAAAATAGAGCCTCCATAGCATAACGTGAAGTAAACAGCAAAGATAACAAGCTTTTCAAAATGAAAACAAACAGAAAAGTAAAACTAAACTTGCTGTTGGTGACGGTGCTTGCATGTTTTTTTCCCCACAAGAATATCATGTTCAACTTTGGTTTAAGGAGCAATCTTTTACTTTACTTTAGCATGAAAACCATCCATCGTTTCCTCAATATTCGTTTTCATCGTTTCCTCATTTTTGATGCGTGCTCCTGCTGACGCGGCGAGTATAAACCAGGCTCTACACTCGAAACTGCGCAGTTCAAACGAGTAGCGCGGTTTCGTTATGCTTTCAGTTTCGTTTGCCGTTTGATGCTTCTCATATGCAACAGAAATGGCAGCGCTTATAAGTTAAACAACGCGGTGCGACCGCTCAAAAAATTTAGTCGCACAGGCAGAAAAAATGGTCGCAGTCTGGAGCCCTGACCAAGTGGCTGTTACCAAAAAAGCATCAGAGTTTCGCCTCTTGGTCTTCTATACCCTTTGATATTAGGGTTTTTCTGAGTTCTATTCCTTCTGTGATGCACATGTGGAGTTTCTGCGCGAGGGTGCCCTCTGGCACCGGTATCGTAAAAAACCTAAACGATACCCAACCCTAATCGTAATAATAAATAAAATTTTTGACTGATGATATTTTGTTTTCTTTTTACATTAAATATTACATATACGTATTAGGGATGTGCATCTTATGACTGTCCGATACGATACGCATCTCGATGCATAGCCAACGATATAATACATTAAAGATACATATGAAGCAGCTACTGATGCGATACGATTCACCCCTGTTACGATGCAGTGCGATCCGATTTCGATTCTATTCGATTCAACACAATGCGATTCGATGCAATACGATGCAATGGAGAAAATATGATCACTTTTAATGCCTCGAGGCCTGTTTCATAAAACAAGTTAACCAGATAACCTGGTCTAAAGCAGGCTAACTGTCAGGCTAAGTTAAGCTCCTCTACTGACCAACAGGAAGACAATGATATTACCACTGTCTCACACAGTTTCTAGCCATGCAGCCTTTCTCTCTGGTTTTATTACAGCTGTATCTTTTATAGTTTGCAGAACGGATAGCAGAACATTAGAACATTACAATCTAAATTGCTCTTTAAAGCATTTAAATAACTAGATTAAAAGTTAAAATCACTGAATTAAAAATGAAAATAAATAATAAAGAAAATGACTACATTTTAACTGCTATAAGAAACGCACATTAACTCATTTGAGCTTATAGTGATTAGTACTGTAGCCTATTAGCTTACATTTGATTTACCTATTCTGCTATCATAAAAATACACTTTATATGTAGGTTTAAAATTCTACAAAAGACACATTTAATGTCCAAAAACAAATGTTTTGGCAAAATGTATATTTTACTCAGAATTATTGCGCTCCTATGCGATTGCGCTCGGTCTGTTTAGCGTGCAAGCGCGCAGCAGTGCTCGTTGCTCTCGAGTGCCTCGCCCACTCCTGACAGCAAAATGGATATGTTTGCATGACTTTCTAACATTTACAGATGAAAAATATACCTGTGACATGTCAGTAATGCACTGAGGAAAACACAACGTCTCAAATGCATTAAACAGCACAGATATAGGCTATTCGCTGTTTGTCATGGTGGATGGATTTAATCCATGATCGACATTAAGGTCTGCTTAAGAATAAGCGTGCACAGATTAGTGAGATTGTGTGAATTTAATTTGTCGTTAATGGAACCGCTTTAGCCCCGACTGATTTGTTAGGTTATTTCAAGTCAGGTTTTGGACTTTAATCCCAGTTTTTCCTCGGGTCTCCGTGGTGTTGTGATGCATCATATTCACGACATTTACAGATGAAGAATATAACTGTGACATGTCAGTTATGCACTGAGGAAAACACAACGTCTCAAATGCATTAAACAGCACAGATATAGGCTATTTGCTGTTTGTCATGATGGATCGATTTTATCCATGATCGACATTAAGAGCTGCTTAAAAATAAACGTGCACAAATTAGTGAGATTGTGTGAACTTAATTTGTCGTTTATGGAACTGCTTTAGCCCCGATCGATTTGTTAGGTTATTTCAAGTCAGGTTTTCAATCCCCGCTTTTCCTCAGGTCTCTGTAGTGTTGTTGTGATACGTCATATTCACGTGCAGCGGTGATGAGAGAACGTGCTTGAGAAACAGTTTCGAGAGGAGAAATCGATCTAACGTTACATATAAAATATTGGTCACAGATTATTGGTCACTTTCTAAACAATAAAAGTGTAGTCATCCACTAGTAATTATATATAAATTAATCGTTTTTTACTGATGCAAATATGTTAGAAACGATGCATCGCGATATAAATGCCAACGTGTAGCCAATGTACGCTTTTTTTAACGATGCATCACATCGTTAACTTTTTATGCCAATGCACCGAGCGAATCGGGGAATCTTCCCATCCCTACTGCATAGTATTGTTTATCCACAAACAAGTTTGTTGCTAGGAAGCGGTGATGAGAGAGCACACTTGAGAAACAGTTTAGAGAGGAGAAATCAATCTACATATAAAATATTGGTCACAGATTATTGGTCACTTTCTAAATAATAAAAGTATAGCACATCCACTAGTAATTATATATAAATTAATCGTTTTTTACTGATGCAAATATGTTAGAAACGATGCATCGCGATATAAATGCCAACGTGTAGCCAATGTACGCTTTTTTTAACGATGCATCACATCGTTAACTTTTTATGCCAATGCACCGAGCGAATCGGGGAATCTTCCCATCCCTATTACGTTTGTAATATAATGTTTATTTCCGTCACAGGTTTGGTATTAAATCAGAAGGTGGTATTAAAAAGGTGTTAAAGTCTTAAATTTAACTTGTTCATATCTGTAGACACCCTGATAAAGAGACAGCATTATACTGTCATTATACTGGTGTCTGTCATTAGAAGATATGCACATGCTTATAAAGCTGTCTTGATATTTAGGCAGATATTTAGTTGGTTAGTGTTTTGATTCGTTTCTTCATGCATGCATATGCCTTTTTGCATTGGATGTGTTAAATGTACAGTGTTTGTAAACAAAAAAAATTAGTTTATTTTTTTTTTTTTTTTGTGGCAAAGTTTTTAACTACCAGTAATACCCTTTTTGGGCTTTAAGAGGTTATGTTTGTTTTTGTAGGATTTGTTTTATTTGCAAAAATATTATTACTCCTGTGATTATCCAAAACGGCTTCACTTGCCTTGAATTTAATTTTTTTTTTGTGGATGTTTTGGCAGTGTGCACTGTGATTGGGGAGGACGTTTTGCCTTTATTGCGAATATATTTTGAAAATGTCGCTTTAATTTTAGGCGCAGCAGACGGTATCGGGACCATCATCAACCACCTCTGATTCTCCTAAAGTGACATTCCCAGCCTACACCCAGCCTTCCTCCACTCCCTCTGTTGCTGCCTCCTCCAGCACTGTGGCCAAACCCCCTGCCACAGTCACAAGTAAGCCAGCCACCCTCACCACCCTGAGTGCTACCAGTAAGTTGATGCACCCTGATGAGGATATTTCGCTGGTGAGTGCTTGAGTTTTGCTTTAACTACTTTTTTTGACAGTAAGTAATTGTGAATGCATTAACTGGTATTATGAAATATTGCTGAAGCCCAAATTAAAGTTAACTGGTGTCATGAGAATACATGCAGTCCAGAGTGTGTTCTTGTTACTGCAAGTGACTGATGACATTGTTGTTATCTTGACCCCAATTCAGGAAGAGAGACGGGCTCAGCTGCCTAGATACCAGAGGCTAATCCCTCGTCCTGGGCAGACTGCAGCAGCTGCTGCCTCAGCTCCCCCTAGTGGAGCAGTGGGAGGAATGATATCTGCCCAGCGGGTTATACCTCCTCAGCAGCCTGGAATAAGGCATCCCATACATGGTAAGATTGTGTCTGTTGATCATATTATTTCTATTTATTATTTCTTGTTATCTTATTGTCTTATTCATTATTGGCATTGTAAATACACATACATTTTCAGATTTTTTTTTCATCTCGTTTATAAATTGAGCTCAGTTAAGGCCCCAATATACTCAAAATTAAGTTCCTTTTTGTTCTTCGTTTAGGGGTAAAACGAAATACAAAATACATGAGCAGTGGGTATACTGTTATCGAACATCCCAGTGCTGCCCACTCTGATGAAAGCAACGTTTATATAAATATGTAAATATGTGCTGCGCGCTTTCCTCTCAGTAACAAAATAAGCACAACAAAAATGGAGAAAACGGCATGAATATTTTTTTCATAAAAATCTGATCATAGCAACATGGGTATGTATGCACAGGCTCTGCAAATTAGCACTCACATGAAGTCACGTCACGTGTATTTACATGGCACTTTATTCAATATATTGCTTAAAAGCAAGCAGCAGTATTAAACATGAAAAACAGTGTTTCGTTTCATTAAAAGCAAAACTTAATTTGCTACTATAAAGTGGCTTTCCACTGCGTGGACATCTCACCTCCAAGGACTCGACAGACTAAATGAACCCAGAGAAGAGTTCCACGTGAAAGAAGGCGGAGCCTCAGAGCACACCTCCTATGACGTAATCGTCACGGGCCAATGGTAGTACGAAGGTGTTTTTGGCCGGATTTTTTCCGAAATGACGTTACATCAGTTCATTCTTAGATTTTTCTTGAAGTATATTGGGGCCTTTATACACAATGAAATTGCTTGATTTTTCCATTGAGTAACAGACTTTCTATATTGATCAATAAACGGGGAATAATTTAGAATAAAGATTAAAACCCAGCATTTAAAAGTACATTTTTATTTGCTTTATGCCATGTTTATACCATACATCATACTTTTATGTTGCCATCCCATTAAAGAGAAGGACATTTACAAAGCAACAATAAACAATTTGCAGCAAATGATAAACTTCTTAAATGCACTTGAATTGGAAAGTGAAACATTGAGTTTATCAAAACTTTCATGTCATTTTTAATTAAAGCAATACGCACCGAGAAGCTGTGGTTTACAGTGATTTTAGAGCAGATAAGGGGAATTGTTGAACTCTGCTGATTTAAAATCACTGTAAACCACAGCTTCGCTCTAATTATTGTTTTTATAAAACTACACATACCTAACAACATTTCATAAAATAAACACAAAATAAAAATGTAATTTGAGCATGCTTCCGCCAAACAATGTAGTTCTTCAGTACTGATTAGCAGAGTGGTTACCAGGCAATAAATCATGCAGTGGCTCAGTTATACAGATGTAATTAGATCAGAGGTGTAACTGCTGTAAATCTCAGTCATAGTCAAGGACCGGAACTGTCTGTATTATAGATCATCACTGAATGCCATAAACACATGTTGACTTACTAAAATAAGGGAATTTTAACTCTTTCCCTGTCAGCATTTTTTTTTAAATTTTGCCAGCCACGCCAGCGATTTTGATTATTTTCACAAAAATTTGATGGCCTCCAGTATATTTTGCTGTATGAATATTTGAATATTGTGGATGCACCGATACCGATACTGAGCTCCTGTACTCGTACTCGTTAAAATGCCCCAATACCAAACGCCGATACCACACAGCATGTGATAAGTGCCATATTCAGACAGAAAAACTGAAAACAGAACAACAGACAGCAGAAAGGAGTTAAGGATGTCTACTACGAAGTATATGTATGCAATGAATATAACGTTAAACATTCAGTATTAACGCCTGTA